GAACTTCAGACAAACCCTTACTTCACTTTCTATTACGCTGGCCATAGCTCTGCGTATGCCTGGCCAAGACTTGAATGAGTCAAAGCCACTTGGTGGCTTTCAAATAGAAAGTGCCTCCATCTCAAAGGGTAACTGCTCATCCCAACACTGGGAGAGAACCAAAATACTGCTCACAAACCTGCACGAGCCAAACAGCTGGACAGACTTCCTTGAAAACTAAAACAGTCTTTATTTTTGTGGAATGCTAAGCATCTCATGGAAGCCAAAGGACCTCAACTCCTTGTAGCAAGACCCTTTTAAAACAGCCTAACACCCTTCCTGAGTTAGTACTCCCCTAACTAACTAATCCTGGGAGAATGGATTTCGTGAGTCAAGTACCTTTCAAAGCGTCAGTCCCCGGGGTCAACATATCAAGGCCCACTGCAACCCTAAAGCTATGTAACTACTGCACACTCTAAAGCTTCTTCTAAACGTCACCATTTGAAGGCAGCTGGCTTGTCTCTAGCAACACTCCATTATTACACACCCCAATAAAACCATCCTAGCATATGACAGGAAATAGAAGGGAGCTCATTTCTGCAGTATAATATATGCATAATACATCCAGGGAATTTTGATGCAATTATTAATTGATGTATGTAAAAATCCCCTAATACTAAACTTTGCCTTAAGCTTGTCTATATTTTTCTTAAAAGTATTAACTGCATTTTTTATGAGTACCTATCTGATGAACGCATAAATGCAAGGACAACTCCAGTTTTGCACACGATCTCTCTCTCTTTTGTCTTGAATACCTAAAACTTGTTTTTAACGTATAGCAATGACTGTGAGCTAATGTTGATTTGCAAAGGTCTGACTTCAGCTGAAACTCCAGGAGTTTAGCTCGTCTCAGAATTAAAACCAGAGCAGGCTCAGCACAGACTGTGCTAGGGGAAGTGTCCTGACCTCCCAGTGAGCCTAGACCCCATGCTGTCAGAGAGAACAGTTGTTAGTTTGAGGTCTGGGATAATTCAGACCTTACCTTTTTAACCAAAAATGCCTAAGAGTACAAAAGATTGCAAGATCAGCAATATAGACACTATTTTACCACTGCATTGCCTATGGCAAGACTTGACAGGGCTGAGTAATCCATGCATAACGAGTGCGTAGCATGAAATAGCTGTACATTCAGCGTGATTTCATTTGCATTCACTCTGCAGTACAGTTATACCTTGTTATGTACTTGATCTACAAGGGGAGTTTTCTGTGTCCTTCCTATCTTGAGACACCAACACTATTCATTGTTGATATCAGAAGAACTGAAATGCAACTAGAACACGAGAACATCATGATATTTGAAAAAAAAAAAAACAAAAACCTCAGTCAGTGGAGGTTGCACTTTACTGAAGAGATGGCACGTGCCTGCACACAGCCACGTAATGGCAGCATGAGTTTGTCTGTGCGAGTTTCTTATACAGCATCTAATTCTAAATGTTTTCTAGACCTGGGAGTGTTCAGTGGGTGTTTGAGAAATGCTGTTGGGATTTTCTGGAAAACAACCGTATTCATTGCTAGTCTTAAAAAATTAATCTCAACTTACCTTGTTAGATGCCTACTTAATTCATGAACTTCCATTTCAGTGCTTTTAAATTCATTAAGCTCTTTTCGAATGGCTGCCTGCAAAGGACAAATAAACCCATAAATGTATGAATGAGCGAGATCAAAGTAAGTTCACTTTGTTTTCAAAACAGTACATTAAAAGTGAAGAAGTCTTACATAACATTATCAGAGAGAGAGAAAAGCATATAAAAGGCTTTAAAATCTGAAAAGGAAAAAGAGATAAACATGTTCTAAATCACATAAAGGGAAGAGATAAATGCTTCACCGGAATACATCAATTTGAAAATGAATTGTAGACAATATGGACACAAAACTCAATTCTGGCTTATTATGTAAACACTTTCATATACAAAATCCAAATTAGCCTAAGTATGAGAAAAAAACATGCAATCATGTTTCTCGAATGGTGCCTTCTATTTCAGAACTGGACTGTGAGTAAACTTGGCCTGGATCTCACTGAAGTCTCCTATTTGTGATGTATCCTGCCTTTATGTGAATTTCCTAGGGTGAAATTACCTAAAATAAGCTGAGCTGCTTTGCCAGCTCACTGGCCTTGGAAAAGGGAGGCCCGGCTCCCCTGCCCATCCCTCTGCCTCTGGCTGTGCCCCTCTGACCCCTTCCTTCTGTCTCATTTGTGCCACTTGCTGAACATTCACCTCACTAACCCAGCAGAAGACTAGCCACAGGTGGTCATATTTAGCATCAGCAGGACAGCCAGCTACCTCCAGCCTTTGCAGCTTGTCCAGGTGCAAAAAGAGAACTAGGGGTGACTGCAATGAAGGGAAATACTGGGAGGAAAAAAAAAAAAAGAAAGAGGAAGAGGGTGACTTAGAGGGGCTTGCTGCTTGCTGGAGAGGATGCTGAGCAGAACTGGCTCAAGCCCACGTCAGCCTGATTTTTTTCAGTACTGCGATATTTGTAGCTCGCAAGCTGGCTCGCAAGAGGGGAGTGTATGGTGAGTCCAAGCAAGACGGCTGCTGTGGCTGAATGCTCCCACGGGAACAAGGTGTGTGCCACCTGCCTTTCCTTGGGAAGCTGAAAACCTTTACTCCTGGAAGTGGCCACTCCTGTTAGTGTCACTTGTGTCTATCAGTTATTTGTCTCGATTAAGGAAATCTAAAGTAGTACAAAGAGCACCAGCCCGAAACAGGACTTTTTTAACAGCCACTGATCCAGTCACCAACTACCCGAACAAGCCCTAAGTGATAGATTTTGAGTGCGAGCCGTAGAAAAGGCCCCTTGTACTCTTCTATACAGCTTTAGCTTTTTATTTATTTTAGAAATATCCATCAGGTTCTGTCTCCATCTATCACTGGAGAGATGGTTATGCAGCAGCTCAAGTGCCTACCTTCAGCAGACCAATTTGCTGCTTAAGTGGCTGTGAAGGAGGCCACATAGACTGCTGACTCCCGCAACACCTGCAATCTATTGCCCCCATGCATCCCTGATCTGTTGGTGAGATTTAATGCACCCTTTTTATTCCTCTAACAGGCAAACTTGGTAAAGATGAAGTCAGATTGAACCCAATTCCCCACATCCAGCACATGGAGCAAGATTTACTGACAAACAGGAAAGTCTATTACTAAAATCAATTTTTGCAATAAATCTAATCTGTGCTGACCAATGGAGGCAGTTATTGAATCAGAGCTTTGGAAGAAAATAATCTTTTATAGGGCACTGCAGCTTTGTTAGGCATTTCAGAGTTGATTCCAATTTGTTTGGCTATGTTTTGTAACAGTGCACGCAGTGATGGGGAAAAGCAGCTGATCTGAACAGCAGAAATCAGAATATTGCCATGTGACCCTGGCCTGAAAAAGGATAGATTTGCTTCCTTATGCATGTAAGAAGCATTAATATTAGAATGTCAAACCACATTTTCTTCTGCTTTACTGAGAAAATGTTCATTTGGAGAAATTACGCCTTTTCTTCAGTGTATTGACCTTGCACATGCATTATAAAAAAGTAAAGGCAAGCTCAAAGTACTTTTCCTTAATAACAAATTCTTTATCAGGCTACTTTTAATAGTGGTACATAATACTTGTCCTTTTCACAGACACGGGATGAGAAAGAACCTCTTTGGACACCAACTCTTCTGCTTTCCTAGCTATAGTCTCTCCATGCCTTTCACCCCAGACAGGGATCTCTCAAAGGCAGCAGAACTGATTGGACATTTATTCCCTCCCTCACCTACGAAATGGGAGAATATAACTGATAGCTTGGCTAGGTCACTTAGCTAAGATTTTCTACAACATGGTGATGTAAAATGGGAATTTAACCCAATACATTATGCTCTGCTGTGTTCAGGAGAAGTTTTGCTCTTTTTCAGATCAGTTTATGTCACTTTAACTTATGAAAAAGCTAAGCTGAAAAAGGCCTCTGTCAAGGAGAAAACCAGTGGTTGCAGAACTATAAAAGTCCATTGGTTAAATTATACAAATAAAACTGGCCACCCTTTCCTCTGTAGATAAAACCGAGGACACCATGAATGAGCGGCATGGTCAGGACTCCCACTCCTTTCTCTGTCCATCAAACACGATCCCCTTTGCTGCATGAGGGGCACAGCAAAAAAATATTCAGGTCTTGAATTCAGCTACCTGAAAGCCTTTAAAATCACATGGCCAGCGAAAAACGACTGTCAAGCACTGGAGTCACTTATCATCAGGCTCACAGTCCTGTTGTCATATGAGATGCCGTAAAAAGTTTAAAGCTCTCCGTTTCTTTCCGTGGTGACTGTCATCTTGTCTCTGCTGGAGGTATGACATGTTGCACATACAAAAAGCGATACTCAGCCTGGCAAAGAAGCAAAGCAGAACCTGCTTGAACCATCGGTAAAGCTCACCTTCTTCCTGAGGCACCATTAAGCCTCTTAGGATGTGATTGATACTACTACTGGCCAAGGATTTAACCTCTTTGCCACCAGCGCCCACACCACAGACACTACTTGGTGAGAGAACGGAAGGTCCCACTGATGCTCCAAAGACAATGCACTTGATACCAAGAATGCAACTTGTTGCCATCTACAGGACTCATGAGACTTCATTTTAATGACTGAAATACTCTGTGGCATGAGGCAGAAATCCTGAGTGAAGGATGACTCTGAGTCATCATGGCTCTCTCTGAGTCAGGGTTGAACCCTCCTGCCTTAACACTCTGCAGAAGTTAGCTGGCTTCAGGGGGATGAAGGTGCTTTTGCCAATTTGAGATCTACTTTGAAAGCTACTTACCTTGTCAGCGGCTGTGAGTCGTGTCCAGGGTTTGTCAGCCCTCCTGTCGTAGTCCTGCGCGTCTGCCACTTCCACGTAGTCACTGAAGCGGATGAGGATCTTCCTCTCACGTAGCTCTTCTACTGTGGGCCTTTGACTCAGCTGTGGATTTGAGAAAGGAGTGGAAAAGGACATCAGGACTTCATTTGTTCCTCACAAAGTGCTGACTGAGGATTTTTTTTTTACCAAAACCCTTAATATAATAATAGGAGGGCTCAGACATCCCAACACCATTGGGTTTTATGACCTTTCACAGCCTCGCTACCTGAGAGATAACGTGTTGTTTGCTATAGCACCTCATATATCATCCCACCTTGCCGTCAGAGCAGCAGGCAACTGCTTGGGAAGTGGCTGTGGCTGGCGACCCCAATCCCAGGCTGTGGTTGATAATCCCTAGCAGAAATTAGATGCAATGCAAGAAAGTCTCCTCATGCACAGATGTCCCAGGAAGAAGTGCGGACCATAACACAACTTAAAAACTACCTGCGCGTGGCGTACTCTCCCCATCTTGAACTGCTGTGTGTGTTTTAGAGCTGCCTGAGAAGAGTAAGGCAAAGGAACTGAGCAGACCCTGTTCCGAATTATGTGCAAAGGGTGACAAACAACATTTCTTACCATTCTGATAATCTGCACTTGTCCTTACCTCCAGAAAAGGCAGGGAGGATAATGACTATTGCTCATTGAACTTTTCACAGCATGCTGCAGCTCAATCTTATGTCATAGCATATTTGCTTTTTAACAGTTTACATTGCTTATTACGAGCCAAAAAAAACCCGCAAGGGTGGATTGTATCATGTCAAGAAAACATGTCCATTGTTCAAAAGGATTTCTTCCAACTTCCACAACAGAATAGGCAGGCACAGTTAAAAATCTCTTCTCAAATTAGAAACAGTAGTGCCCTAGTCCATGTATCATTCAGCTAAGGACAGACGTTGGCTTTTGGGGATCTCCTCTCCTTAGCTGCACAGAATGCTGGTTCATGTCAAGAGGAATTACATGACTGTTTCTGAAGAAGGTACTATACATTTGTGGATGTATATTAGCGACAAAAGTTTATGCTAATGCTGCTATATCTGGTAAAATACTCATGTCCCACTAACCATTAGCCAGCCAGTATATCATGCTATTCCTACTCATTAGAAAAAGCAGAATATGCGTTAAGTGTGAACATGTGAAACGTGTCAGTGTTATAGGGCTGTTTTGCAATTCTTCACTCTTGTGAATAGTGAAAGGGCTCAACATTTCATAAAATGCTTGGGACTCTTCTGCAAAAGTATTTAGACTCTGGAATCTTGAAGGGCATTTCCACCTTCCTCTCAGCTTAAGTATCTCAGCTCCCTGTATTTCCTCTTCCAGGGGAGAATTAAGATTCAAAGTAGCCAGGATGCTAAGCAGAGGATGACAAATTAGCGAGACCACAAGGAAAGAGAAGTGCATCCTTTAAATCTCACCTGTCTCCACAATTTGGGTGCTGGTTCAAGAAAGCTCCACCTCCCCACCCTGCACTTGGATTTAAATCCCTATCTGATTGTTCTTGCCATGGATGGTTGCCTCTGTCTTCTCTTTTCAAAACCATGGTTGCACCAGAGGCAGCAGTGGGGCTGCTTTCTTTCTGCTGAAAGCCCTGAGCACTCACTCACCAAGTGGTTCAGGCATCTCATGTGGAAAGAGAATCTGCAAGAATGCACTAATCCCAGTCCATGAGCTGTTCAGGAGGACAGGGATCACTCTCTGGGCTTCAGCTGTGCCATTGTGCACACCCAGAAGAGAGAAATCACAGAGAGAAAGTGTAACCAGGAGCACAGCTCTACAGCCTGCTGACTAATGCCCTTGCCTAGGACAGCAGTCAAGTCCCAGCACTGCAGTTCTTGCGTTGCCTCCAACGCCAATTTAAGGTAAATTAAATTTAACAAGAGAAAAACTCCTGGCTAGTTTGAAAAAGAAGTTAGAAGCTTTTGAATATTGCAAAAGTCTTAAAATTAGATAGTTTTCTCACACCCACCTTCTTCTATGGGAGACACGAAGTTTCATGGGAGGAGCTGCTGTGTGTGGGCTGGTTATGTAACAGTTACAAACTTCCTCTTATTCCATCTTCCAAAAGCTTCCCAAGAAGAATACCATTTAATATAGCCAGGGCCATGCTCAGGTCAGCCAAAGAGTATGTATATACAGAGGCCAGGAAGAAGCACGTCTTTCTTAACTTTGACTACACGTTCTGGTGACCGTTTTTTTGAAAGCAAAATGCATACATACATGCAAGATTTTTTTTTTTGCTAGGTTTTTCTACTAGCTCTAGTGTTAGGAAAACCAAGCACCGGAAAGTTTGTTAGCCTTCCTTCATTATTATAGCTGAAATGTTTTTCTGATTTTTATTTTAAATCTACGCCTTGACTATGGGAACAGAGAGAACCTTTGTACTGAAATAATACTAACATTAGGACTACAGCTAAGTTTTTCAAAGATAAAGTTGAGACTCTATCCTTACTTGCATCAGCTGCTTCTTTTCGCACAACAGCATGAATTAAGGATGAACAACCAACATTATCTGTAGATTTCTCAGCTTTTATTAGGCCAGAGCCTAGATGCTTTTTCATATTAGGATGGGAATTCTTTTTAAATAAAATACTCCATTACATGAGGTATGATGACATGAACAAAATATGAAATCCTGTTAGTTAAACTCTGTGTTTCTAAATGGCTACAAGGGAAACAGGAAGAGACCCTACTTCACAGCTTCTGTCAACCCTTGTCCTTAGCTGGCTTTTATGCTTGTGCAAAGTTGTCAGTCTAAGTGATGAGCAAGTTTTTCCAAAGGAGATGACAGGTGAATTCTGATACGCTATAACCTGCTGTGCCACACTGATGTGTAGACGATGTCAGGAATGCAAGAGCACCAAGAGCTGCTGATGCTGTGGTTCTTCTGAGAGAAGTGGGACTTCACTGGTGGCATTTACCTCAACACCTCAACAAAGCCTTAAATAGTTAATTTGGCTTCCCTGCTGTTGCGGGTCCAGGCTAAAATCAAAGAAAAGACTAAATGTTCAGAGCTATATGATGAAATGAGAAATCTGAGATGAGTTCTCACATTCACAAACGCACGAGCCAAATTAGTTGCACTGCCGGCACTTTTTACAACACTGAAACTTACTGCACCCCCTTCTGTGCATGTTAATTCCTTCAGTGGGCATAAAGATCAGTGCATGGAGTTACACATGAAAAAATGTCAAGGGCATAAGCACCTTGTGAAACTTTGGCATTAATGTGCATTTTTCATTCCTAGGTGATAACTGAATGTGACATAGACTAAAAGCTGTTTCTTCTCCTCCTCTGAAATAACACAAGAATTACTGCATATTATTTTTGGAGGTCCTGACTTAGCTTGACAAATGTACAACCAGTGCAATTTCAAGTGCTTATACACCCCATTACAGCTTTGCTCGGTGTCTCCCTCCCCACAGAACAGCTGGGGCAAGCGAAGCACAGAGACGAGCACTCACTCAAGGTGACCTAGGAGGCCTGGGGCAGAGCTATGAACAGAAGATGTACTGGGTCTTGTGCCAGTACTCTAGGAAAGAGCGTCCTCAGATCCACAGCTTATTCCACATAATTGATGTATAGCCATAAATCTACATATATTTACATACATATATACATAAAATATTCACTACATTAAACCAAAGTGAAGATCTAAGTATAAAAAATGAAAAGAAAGGGACAACCACACTGAGTGGGTATTTTTTATAGCAATTAATAAAAGTGACATTATTTGTCCTGTTAATCAACTGACCTGCCTCTTTTTCATACCATTGCAGAGAATTCTTGGGAGTTGCTGAGCACTCGGATCTCTCAGTAGGTCTCAGCTATGCAGAGCACCCTTAAATCTTAATGATAGTGACAGCTGGGAAGAGGGCTTTGCAGAGCAAACTCTGTAAGTGGCTCCACAGCAGGCATCAGTTCAGTGTCTGTGGGAAGGGCATGGCTCACCTGGGATCTCACCTTGGAATTTATTTTTATAACATGTAACTGCAGTGTTACTGGTCAAACTTGTTTAATGCTACGCAATACTTCACGGACAACAACTGAAAATGAGCTCTGCTGCCTCTGCCAGACAGAAGAAATGGGAGACCCTTGAAACGCACAGTGAAAGGACACATTGAAGGACAAGATGTGATTGCCTGCATAAGGCAATGGTGCTCCAAGCAGGAAGCGAGGGATCTTATGCATTGAGCTGGCTCCCTGCAAATGTTGTCAGGCTTTATTAACACTGGTGAGTTTGGAAATTTTTCAGGGGTATTTTAGGGAGGAACTTCAAGGAGAAGTTTCCTCAAAGAACAGGTAGCCTATGATAAGAATTTCACTATAAACATCTGGAATGAGTACGGACCCTTTTTTAAGCGTGGCAAAGGGATTTTTTTTTTTTTTACTTCTATTAATACCAGAGGCATGTACATGTGTCTGTCTCCACTTTTTCTGGGTGTATTCCCTTGCCATATGGATTTCTGTTTATCTGTTTGTAAAGATTTGTGAGCTGAAGGAGGACAACTTTTAGTGGGGTCTCCCCATTATTTTAGTGGAAATCAGGGCATTATCCATTTTGAAGAAAATGGACTGGTATTAGTATAAAAGCAGTGTAAATGAGGACAGAAACTGTTGTCTGGTCATGGGAGATCAAGTTGTCCTCTGTATATTCTGGATCACTGAAGATAAAAAGGGCACATTTCAAGCTTTGATACTAACCCAATTTGCAAGAGAAGGCTTAAAACAAACCCATTTTCTTGGCATGGGAAATGAAGCAAACCAAAGCACTGTCACCAGGTAAAGTGGAGAGAAACATGCTCTTGCCAGTCATGGTTTTGGGATTTAGCCAAATCTGAGATGCTGAGTTTGCCTCTCTTCAACCACACAGAGCTTGTTGTCTTGCCACTTCATTGTTGCCTGCTTTGTTACCTCATTAAAATGTTATGGTTGTTATTTAATGATGAAATCAAGCTGAAAAATTACAGATCCTAACTGGCAGTGTACACAATTCCCACTCTCCTTTGCTCTCCACCTTTTGTGGAAAGACGTGGATCTATGTATCTCTAACAAAGGAGCAGGATGTGATAAAAATGGCCCCAAGCCCTTTTCCCTCTTTGAGGAGAAATGCAATTTATCCAAATTAACAGCTAACCTTTTTTATATTCTAACCTATTTTTCCTCTTCCTCTCACCTCCCTCTGACTGGTCACACCTGTCTCAAGAGTTCATTATTTCAAACGCCCTGCACGGATCCAAGCCAAGGGAGGTCAATTAAAGAAATGACTGAACAGCAAGACATTTCCCAGTGAGGCATCAGCTTGCTCACCTGTGAACACAGAGTTTGAGTTCTACTGGGGAAGTAATTCAACGGGAGCAAAGATTTCACAGACTTTAATGCGTGGCCTTTAAGAAACAGCCACGGATCATCATTTAAGTTGTCATTATTACTGCTATGAAATTTTTAGTTTTGCAGGTAGGCCTTTGTGAAAAATTAACTATTGACAGTGGGGGATAGGAAGCAGTTAACAGCTCTGGAAACAGGGAGCATGATGCCACTTGAAAGAAGAGAAGACAGGAAAAGAAGAATGTTGTTCTTCTTTGCAAGTGATTTGTAACATGTTCTGTTAATCTGAGCTACGACTGCATCTCTGGAATGGGAGTCCTCATGGGGAGTTCAGGCTTGTGTTAATTGCCTTGGTATACAGCCAAATACACTGAGGTTAAGAGAGGATAAATTCTTTGTAGTATTTCCTGGGGCCCGGAACGCGTCATGGAGGGGACTTGGATACAATAGTTCCCCAAGAGGGCCTTCACACACTCATATTCTGGGAATGGGCTTGTGGGGTGGCCTAGACCAGTGCTCAGAAAAATCTCTTCATATTCAGATGTCCCTCCTATTAAATTATAAAAGTCCACATGTCTGAAGTAGCTAGTTCGACCCCAAGGAGAAGGAAGAAGGAGCAACAGGGTGACTGGATATGCAGAACCCATCTTTAGAAACTCTGGTTACAGGTGAATAGGCTTTATCTTTCCATCCTACGGCAGAAGGGAAAGGAGTTTAAAAGAGAGTGTACCAAACTGAATTTCCCTCCTTTTAGTTCTTTCAGTGGCAGCTATTCCCTATCCCCAGTTAATCTGGAGTTAGTAGAGGCTGAGAGGATGAAAAGTGCTTCAAGGGGCAGCTTGTTATACATCGCCTGTTCACAAATTTTTTTTTAAAAAACATGCCTGCCCAGATGATGGATTCAAGTACAATTTATTGCCAACTTTAGTAAGGCATCTAGACTTAGCAAGGTAATCTTACTTATCACAGTATGTCATGTAACAGCTCATCATCATAATACTGCAACAAAATGTCAGTTCTGAAGGAATTTTAAGAACAGCTTTTTAATGGATGAAGTAGATTGTTCCAGCTCTAGTAGAGTTGGAATGATGCTACCAAAATCAGGGGCCGTAGCAATATTTACAGTATATGATCAAAAATCTTTTCCATGGCTTCTCCAGGATCCCTTTTCTTCTTATTACCAACCATATATGGTTACAAGAAGGCAAACTGGCATACCTTCCTTATGCTGAACTTACTTACCCTGTGGGCATGCGTGTGCATTAAAACCCACTGCAAAGGCAGAAATCTGCTGGGGAAAACATTTGATGTGCTCAATTAAACCTCTCCTTGATCTGAGGTTTAAAATCCGTTGGTAATAAGACTTCAGGATGGATGGACAGAAGGAGCCTGCCACTCTTCTGTAAACACAGAGACACATCTGGGCCATATTCATGACAGGCAGAACTGGGGAATAACAACAGCTTTTGCAGGATTCACTAGGTGCTTAGCATCTCTAGGTGTTACATATCCACTTGCAAACTTTATTCGCTTCTTTCATCTAGTCATTACTGAGCTTTTCCGACAGTGTGTTTGGTAGGCGAGGCTATAATTTGTTGTTCTTTCATTAAAATTACAAGGTGTCACCACAACAATTAAAAACGGTTTAAAAAAATAATCAAGACCAAACAATGCTAACTCATGTTGCTACCAACCTCACAAACACACCAGGGGGAAAAAAAAAAATCCGTATTTGAGAAGAAGCCAAAAAAGGCTAAAAGGAATGTGGACCTGGAATGTGGATATGAACATGAAAGAGCAGATTGCCAGGGGATTGGACTGAAGCTGTTCTTGCCATTGTTCCTACTCAAAAGTGTAAACAAGACAAATAAAAAAAACTCATAGAAGACAGCTGCTGAGATTTTGAGGAGTAGATACTGCTGCAATGCTACAGCAATCTGGGAGTTTTAGATTACCATATAGCTGAGGCCTCCGTCTGCAACGGCCAACTCACATTATGCACCTTTCCTACAAAATAGCAGAGGATGGGGATGTGTGTGATGATAACACAGGCTAGGCTAGCAACCCCCCACTTCTTAGGCAGCAGATTGTGCCTGGGTAGCTTTGCTTTTTATCTATTACAGCTGTTCATCAGATGGCACTAATGTTTGGATTTGATTCCTGTACATGTTTATCCTTCTATGTACAGTGAAACTGAAAGACTGCTAAAACAATATTTCTAGTTTCTATGCAGAGCTTAAGGCCTGTGAAACATCCGCAATGCAGTTAGGTTCTTCTCTTTCAGAAAATGCTATCAGGGGATGCGAGAACATTCTTGCCATTGCTGTCAGGAATATAAGTGTTTTAAAAATAATGTTACAGCTCTTTGGGCCACATATTTAGCTCCTGCAGAAAAAAGCCCAGTTGACATCAGAGAGCTCTGCTGACTCACATGAGCTGAAGAAAGTTTGAGATTTCCAATCATGAAATAAACCAATCCAGATCTCTGAATGTAACCTTTGCACATATGTTCTGTTTATAGCCCTTTGTCTTTGTGATTATTATTTGTACCATGAAAGTTTGCAATCACATAGGTCAAAAAGATTTAAAAAATATAGGAATGGATTGGTGCAAACATGAGTTTCTAAGGAACTTTCTCCATCTCTGTAGATGGGAAATAAGTGAGTGCCAAAATAAAGTTTATCTACAATAACAGGCTAGCTTGTTGGCTATGTACATTGGGACATCTGTAGACATTTAGGCCAGCGGAGAAACTGAACATGCATATATCTGAAATGACTGTTATTCAGTTTTAAGAGCAAATGATTTTCAAATGGGAGAAAAACCAAAACCAAACTACTGTGCTGTTTAGTCCGCCCTTCCCTGCTGATACAAGATTGTTTTCTGCACTATACACCATTTTCTAAGTGTTTATTTCTATTTAGTTTAAATGCCTCAAGTGACAACCTCTCCTTCCAGAGAAAGTCTATTTCCCAGTTCAATGCTTTTTGGTAGAATTTTCAAATGCAATCAGCATTGCTTGGACTTCACTCTCCCTGCAATCCTTGCAAGCCATTACCTTTACAGGGAGCAGGGTTAGATCAGTGCTAAGTCTGTGTATCCTTCACTGTTCAAAGTCCCTTCTGTTACAGAAATTAGATCTTTGGCCCAGTCTCAAAATGTTACTGGCAAAGTAGTCCCCAAAATAGTCCCCAGAACTCTTCCCTTCACTGTCACTTACACTGACTTACACTCTACAGCAGAGGTGATTTCTTTTAAAGATTTCTTTTAAGAATTGTTTCAGGCTCCCTTTTTAAAAATGGTGCTGTGGAAAGGAAAAAGGCAAACAGTGGTGCGGTAGGGAGAAAGTTATAATAGTGCCATAATAGGATAAAAGTTGCTTCTCACCTTACGCGTTAATCTTCTTTTTATCTCTCGTTTTTCCTCCTGCTCCTCTTGCTCATTCCGAGCTGTAAAAGATTTGCAAAGCTCTCAGACTGCAGAGTGATCACACACGCACAGTATGCAACAAACAAGCCTCATCGTCAGCATATTACTGATTCACTGGACTTCTCTGATGCGGATCATGTCCCTCGGGGACTAGTGAACTTCCTCGATCCCTAACTATTGCACTTCCTCATACACTTCATGAAATATCTACAGCCTCTTTCTTTTCACTGTGTTGGTACCTCTTCATGTGTCTTGCTTTCTAAAAGGGCCAGGCAACGAGCCAGCTCTCCAGAAACCATTATCTCTACGCCCAGGCGCCTGGTGGCCTCAAGGAGGTTCAGATATGATATGGTCAGGTTTTGAGGAAAGCGGGCTGTGAGGTCAACAATTGGAAAAGAAAAAGATGTGTTTTTCTCCAGATACAGAGTAATTTCTCTATAGCTACTTTTTGAAGAGAATGAAAAGAAAACTCATAGCAGGGATGCCAGGTAAAACTGCCAGCTTCCCATGGTCTAAGCAGAGTAAAGAGAGACAATCCTTCCATGATGAGCCTTCACAGCGTTGCACTGGAGCATAAAAGCAGATCTTAGGACAATCTGCTTCCAAAATTAAAACAAATACAAAAAATTAAAACAGAAGATCATGTGTGACAAGTTCTTGCCAGGGCAAGCATCAGCCTTTATCACCCAAGAGCACAATATCTAACATGCAACTACAGTACCTGTTCTTCAGCTTAGGAACTCAAGGACCTCTCTGCACTGATGTTTACTAAAAGTCACTAGAACCTGGGTTCCCAGGTATTCAGCTCCTAAGTCAGTTAGGACCTGTTTCTGTTGCTTTCCTGATGTCTGAATTGCTCCTTAATCAAATCATGCCCACATATAAAAACCACCTTTACTTCAGCCTAGCTGATGGGTTCAGGCAAATACAGCTCATCAGCTTCTCATGTAACTATCCTGTGCCCCTTCTGTGATCCTGCTCTCACTCCGATAGGAGTAGCTCAGGAAGGGATAACTGTCTGGAAGGGAGACACACACCTCCTAGGCCACTCTGAAAATGTTTGTCCTTGCCTAGGCATAACTGTCCCATCCACGCTGCTTAGCTAGTGGGCCACAGCGCAGTGGCTGATGATGTGAGCTCTGGCTGCAGTCATGCCAAGTCCTTTCCATCATTATTAGGTCATTTTACATGCACAGAACATACTGTACATAATGCCTTTCACTGAAGGGTCTCAAAGCACCTGAAAAGCTTCCCTTGTTTTGTAGGGAAGCTAAGGGAAGTTTTCTACACGATTTGAACACAAGTTTAGCACAGTTTTGGATGAATAAAGGGGCACCGACCTAGCAGATTCACTTAGCAAATACCTGAGACAATTGAAGATGTTAGTGGCCCTCTGGCTAGACTCAGCGAAACAGAACATGAAAATGTTCCTCAATTCCTTCAGCACAGGTGGTCTGAGTAAAATTGCCCAACTTTGCACTGAATTGAAACTAAGGGGGAATCCTACTTTCCACTCTGCTGATCTGGCTGGAGAGGCAGGGACCTCTGGCAGAGCGGCAGTAAGAAACCGCTAGAAGTGGTAACTTCTTCAACAGGCCAGCCGTTCGCTAAGCGGGCACAGGTCAGCACTCACATGTCCACCAACCAATAGAGATAAATACAATATAAAGAGGTCCTAACTCAGCGGAAGTCTGTCCACAGCAAAGGCGATGCAACGATCCCAACCAGTGTATTTAAATTGGTGCTTTCACTGCCAGAAATAAGACCTAAGGTACAGAGAACATGGGCAAAGTCCCAGAGCAGGTGAGAAGGAGGGTGAAGTTGGAAGCCAGATTTCTTGCTGCACAGGATAGCAGAGGTTTATAGCAATTGCTCACTGACTTCAGCACGATGAAAATTTCTCTACCAAAGTGGACAAAGAGTGAGTCAATGTTATGAAGTTTTATAATATGTCTCTGATTTGTAAATGTCGTATTTCCAAAAATAACGCTTACCTTTTCTGGAGGAAAAAATCTAATACTATAGCAAAAAAAGATCAGAAGACAGCTGAGAAAGTTACGAATGGCTTCTAAAATGATGATTGGAATACCTCCTACACTGATAAATATATTTTTCATGTTTCCTTTTCCCTTTCAATGGTTCCCGCCCCTGCTGGGCTGGATTCTCCTCTAGCAATTCGGTCCTTCCTTTGTTTCTCAAAATCAGAGGAGCTGGTATTGCAAATGCTTACTCGCAGTTAACAGGGCCACTGAATGAATCTTTGTAGGATTAAGCTGCGAACTGAGAGAGATAAACAGAGCCTACATAGAGTTGGGGCAGAACTCAAAGCAGCTGAGGAGTTACGTAAAAACACTTAGTTATGGCAGTCCATTTTTGTGCTCCGCATACAATGCCTGTCTTTCTCCTCGCTTCTCAGCCCAGTCACCCACCTTCAGAGTCAGGCCAAAACCTCTACCAGGTCAAAGTTGGGAATTAGGAATCCATTCCTCTCTGAAGTGGCTTTGTTCTAGCCATTTTTTTAAGATTAATTAAATCTCACGTGAATCTCGTGAAGCTACAAAACTGTTGCTTTATTTTATCTTAGGTGTTCAGGAGATACACTGCTCCTCCAGACCTCTGAGTGTGTGCGTGTTTGCATGGGGGTGTGGTTTTTGGGCCTGATTTTTGTGCCAATGTGAAACGTCGACCAGAATGGCCTGAGACCCCGAGAGCTCAGCTAACTATTGTTTTATGAGGAATTTATGCAAGTTGAATGTGTCAGGTTGACAACTGAAGTAGCTGACAACTTCTGCCCGTCGCAGAAAATGGCACTGGTGGTGGTGGGTGAGAGGAATTCAGACATCCTTCCTCTTAAACTAGTATAGCCTGGAAGTATTAACTGCAAAAAGAGTTGTTTAGTCTTCCCATTAACCCTGCAGGTCTGGACTTGATCGCACTACGTACCTTTAACTTAGGGAGCCTTGGGTATACTTCAGTGAAGGATCCTTCAAGCATCAGTTCCCCAGTTCTTTGCTCTGACTGCTATAATTTTATTGTTGTTACCAGCAAGCCATTGGATTTGTGTAATGGACTGTTTGCTATTATAATTCAGTGAAGAAGGCTACCTCCTAATTATCCCAGCACCATGGAGCTGGGACTTGATCACTTCATGTATCAAGACTGGATGTAGAAATGCATTTTGTCCCATTTCTTGCCATCAGATCTTGCAATCATGCCGTTAATGTCACAGGAACATCATGGTACCAAACAAGACATTTGCGTCACAGAAATTACAGCTTCAACTGTGGAGGAAATCCTATTTATTCAACTGGGAGTTGCTGGGTTTTCTTTTTTTTCTGGTGTGCTATGAACTGGCCTTTTGAAAATAGCCTGACTTGGTCAGGCAAAGACTTTAATACTCCTCTTTTCATTATTGCTTCCTATGTATCTTTTTTTGTCAAGCTCTGCTATACTTACCATAATTCTATTTCTCAGCTGTCTAGAGAAAGAACATAAAATGATGCTGTACAGAGCAGATACTTCACTTTTTTAACACCGTGGCATTTTATGCTATTTTTTCATTATGTTCTATTTTAATTGTTTGTTGCTTGTCCTGCTGTGCTTCACCAGAAGTTGGGATGCTTTGGAAATACCACGTTATTTTTTCCTGCAATTATGAAGTCGTTTGCCTACCAAGACACACATGTTTTAGGGCAGGTCTGTGCTGAGGAACCCAGCTACAAAATTTTCATTTAAGGAATAAAATATCGTTCCAGATTCAGGATAACGTTCAAATATGCCTCTGTTATTTAGGAGCCTATATTCAATTCAGAAAGAAACCAATGTGACTCAGGGGCAATTCCACTGAAATATAAGACAAGTCACGTTGCTACGTGACTGCGACACTTGACAATGTGACCTTTAAGAATATCTGTGTAAGGCACCCAGGTTTGAAGATGTTTCTCTGTTCATGCCAGTTCAAATGCCGCTGCCAGAGCAGCTGCCTGAGATCCCCATCTTCCCCCAGTCGCTTGCAACCACCCTCACCAGTGCCAGGCTGGTGTTCACTGGTCACGTAGTGGTGCCAGGTGGTGCGTGACACATGGCTCATGCTAGCTGCAAGTCCCAGGATGATAATATAAGCTGCCCAAAGAATTGGCGCCTGCTCCCCTTTGTCCGAGCCCCGCTTTGGTCACCCTGCGGGTCCCTCCTCCTCCAGCTGTTTCTACTCCCCGCCAAGGACAACAGCACAGCTGGGTATGCCACCTATCTCCCCCCTTTTTTGCCCCCTGGAAGGCTGACCTTCTCTGGCTGTCAGGCATGGGAGTTTGGAGTAGTCAGTAGGCGCACAGTTATCGAAAGGGGACTGACCCCAATCAAATGGCTTTCCCGGTGGCCTCGGGGTCACTCAGACAGGCTCTGGTGTCCAATCTTTTCTCATCTTTACCGTGGCAGTGGTGTCTTTGTCTTTCTCTTTGTCTGGCATGCATAGTTAACATGAACAAATGGAAAAAAATTGCTGTTTTATTCCCTAACGCTATCACATACGTCTTAGGAATTTGATTTTCCAGTATTTAATCTATCAATTTTACTAAAACCCAGAGAATTAATCTCCTGCTACCACACTCCTATGACTCTGCAACACAGTTATTTGAACAACAATGAAAGGCACATTATGATGCTAACTAAGCAGACACTATGGTATTTTAAGGCATTGTTTAGGAATACTTTTTCCTGTATTCCTTTTTTTAATTCCCTGGAATGATGGATTACTAACTTAAAAAGGGAAGAACTTGTTTCTTCTGTTCTCTGTTTTCAAACTACAGAACATTTAGACAAATAGCTTTGACTTTTTAAATATTTAAATCACTTTGATGTGAGTAAAGAAACAGTCATTTTTTTTTCTGATTCATTCACGAGATTATGAGATTTAGTCTGAACTCAGAGCTGCTTCCGCTGAAGTTGAGGGCAACACATCCAGTAACTTGACTAAGATCAGGAGGCTCTGTAAATGATGTTTTGCCCCTTTAAAGTATCATTCAATGTTTTGAAGATCTAACACTACATTTTTGGTTCATTTAAAGGAACAGTGAAGAGTAAAGGTTAGAAAATTCAAGCCATGACCTGAAGTCTTTACTAACTTATTAATAATGAGATGCTCATCGGTGTGAGAACAGCATAAAGGCTTTTCAAAATGCCCCTCTGTTTGGAATAGGACTTGCAAAAGAGACTCGATGTTTGGGTTTTTTTTTTTTTTCCAGATACTGTTCATACTTGTGAACTTACTGGCTCTGATTTTAATAAATGTTTCTACAGTTCTAAAGGTCGTTATAGACTTGCATGCTTATTTGCATTTATGATGCAGTTTATTATTATGATGCACATAACAGAATAGTTATGTTTTATAAAAAACGCACAACATTATATCTAAACTAACCCAAACTAGCTGGCTCCAGATTAAGTCTCATTAGGATCAGGACTTACGTTTCAGAATGTTCCTCTGCTCCAATTCCTCAGCAGTCGGCCTCTGGCTCAGTCGTCTGCGAAAAAAGTCCAAGATCAGTTTTTGGACCATATCACATCCTCTTCAGTTCAATGTCTTTAAGAGTTACTTTGTGGCGTGACAGGCAGAGAGGGAAGTACAGACACTGCTCCATTATGTACTTGCTATGCCCGTGCCATGCATGACACAGATCATGCCCCTCTTTCGCAGTTTCCTCTGTTTCCAACCCATGAAAGACCAAATATGTTATGTCATCTTAGGCATGACACTCCCACCCCTACCCCAGGCACAGCCGCCGAAAGCTAGGCTACACAGATGTCTTCACTTAGTTTCCTTCCTCCCATGCCTGCTTCCTGACTTTCACAAGGATTTCAAGCTAAGACCCAGCGGCCCCTCTCCCTGCCCTCCCGCGAGCCTCCTGACTGCACCCAGTTTGTTCAAACCCTGTCTGAACACACAGACAGGCCACAGAAAAAACAAGGGACGGTTTGGCGGCACCGACTGCAGCACAATAGCAGCCCTCCTCCTCCACACCCTCACTTCCCTCCTCCTCGCGCTACTTTTATTAAACTGTATCATGATAAATTAGCGTGACTTGCTAGTCAACCTGTACATAATCGAGTCACAACAAACGCAATCGAATTACAAACGGGGGCCCTGAGCACGGAGACAATCGGAAAAGTCAGAATACAAAGCGAGAGAGAGAAGCACAAAGGGGTATTAGGAAAACAAAGAAAACCAGTGAGATGACATCAGAAGTCAACACTGCTGGGCCTGCTCATACTCTCCTCTAAGTCAATGGGAGTTTTGTCGATGACTTCGGTGACAGAATAGAGCCTTCCTCATCGTTCGGACGTGGTCGTTCAGAGACTCGGGGGCCTCACGCTTTGCTCTCTATTTACCAACTGCTCTGCGAGTTGGCTCATCAGCTCCCCTGCGAGGTGCCGGGTGCTGAGAGGAAACGTGATGTGAACGCTGGCTTTAGGGCCTCCCCTTCTGCGATGGATACTTTCTCCCCTCCAGGCACAGAAGGCGATGAACCTCCCTGAAATGGGGCCAGCTTTATGAGGCCGGCCAAGGGATGTCAGACAAAGGCTGCTAAGGGTTCAGTCACAGCTCAGAGATGTCCACACAGCCCCTGGCCCTTGCCAGAGCCTGGCGTGTGCTCCTGTTCAATACCACTGCCGCAGGCACAGCAGCCCCTCGAATGCCTTCTCCACCACGCTCTGGAGCACAAGGGATGGACAGGAGCCTCATCCCCTACTCGAGCTGTATGAAGGCTAAGGGCGCTGGACATGCCCGATTTTAAACAATCTGAAGATTTCCACTAGCTGAGGTGATACCAACCGTACTGCCTCTGTGGCTGCTTTGCACCTCTAAGACAAAACAACAAAATATGGCCCTACTCCAGCAGAGTATTAGGACTTTCTAGCTTTGTACCTTACCCATGGCAGATTGAACAGTTATCTCATTGGAAAAGTGCTGAAAGGGACAAAATTCATCCTAAATTCAGAGGCAATGAATGTCTGCAAAGTACTTTGAAGACAAAAAGCGCTATTCAAGTGCTGCCATTGTTATCATCATCTTTAACATACGGTAACTGTTGCTAATGGGATACTTAAGACAGTTCACCTTAGTACTATGAAGCAAATAAACTTGCTTTTTCTCTAGCAGTGCTTGAAAATCAAAGGGAAAAAGTTGCCAAGTTTAGCCTCCCATGTGTGTCTGCAGCAACTGAGTTATATAATGTTTTTAATCCACCACACTGTGATGCTTTTCAAGAGGATGCATCAGAGGAATGTTAAGGACAGATTCCAGCCATTCAGTGTCTGACCACTTGTATAGGAACAAACATTAAACATTAATAAAAGGAGAAATCACTTTGAAAAGACTGTTTCCTGAAAAGTTCTCCCCTTTCTCAGTAAAACAAGGATGAAAAGACTCAGCTAACAGTTTTGTCAAAAACAGTTCACACTGGAGAATTTCAAATAAAAGGCTGAAGTTTTGTTTATCTACGTGAATGATTTACTTGAAAGAAAAAAAATTACTTCTTAGTAGGTGCCATGAAGTAGGTGCATTTAAACAAAGCTTTTACTTGATGGTGTGTCATTGCTTCCACACGTGAGAAGAGGGATCTCCCCCAAGTATGCCCTCAGCATTATATGTATCCCATACTCCTGAGCTGCTCAGAGACTTATGGATTGTGGGTCTTCTTCCCCAAGCTGCATGGCAGGGTCCCTACTGAAAGCCCGCCAGAGATCTCTGTGTTCCTCATCTAGATTCAAATTATTTTATGGATCTGATAATCTGCCTTTTTCAGGCTGCAGTGTGCTCCTACTCAAATGATGACTACCATTTCAAGGGATGCACCTACATGGCAGAAAAAAGCCATGATACTTTTGATAGATACAGCCTGGAGATCTAAAGCTATCTGCCTTCATGGGGCAGTGAATCCCTTCTAGACTCTTAGAAACCCCAGAATTTAAAAAACAGCAATACTTAGGCAGTAGGAAAAGATAATGCACCCTTGTATTTTAACAAAAGCATGACTAGTCCTTACAGTGCAAGCATAAAGCACAGCTGAAGGATGAGGAAGGTAATGAATGGAAGCTGTGGAGCGGCCCAGCCTCCACTACAAATATCTGCTTTTCACCTCCATGAACAGCTGCTGCGTCTCCATTTCCATCATCCTTTCAGCTTGAGCCTGCTCCTGCTCCCTCATTGTGAGTCCCTCCTAGCCCAGCTCCTCAGTCACACTCAACCTCTTCCCCATCACCTTCCAAGTACTCATCATTATTTCTTTTCTTGGTTTCTTGGCCTCTTCCTTTACTTTCTTCTCTTGCTTCCACAGTGACCTCCACCCCCAGTCTATCTTTGTGCTTTACAAACAACTCCATCAACACCTCAGAACAGCTTCCTTTTAGTTCTTTTTTCTTGCCTCTTAACTTTCGGGTTTGCCAGATGTTGGGCAGCTGTTAACGCTACTGTCTTTGAAAAACTCGATACTAGGTAGTGATCCTGTAAATCAAGAAACACGAGTAGTTATTCCTTCATTACCACGGCTTCAAAGATACAGGACTTTTCATACAAATTTCAGTATACCCTCTTCAGTGCACTGTTCCAATTTTGGCATACACTCGAGGTGATACAGCCTGCTCTATCTTCCCTCCTGTGCTGCTTAGAAAAAAAAATATTAATGAAGCCAACCTAGCTTACAGAGGTTGATTTCAGTGATTTTTATTGCTGGATTGCTGCTGTGCTTTATTTCATCTAACATTAGACGGGCTGTGTGAAGCTGTCAAGAGGCCAGAGGTCATGAGAAACGTGTCTAATTAGCAGCATAATCAGAATAAATAGGAAAAAAAGAGATGAGGACAGATGTGCCGGCAGAGCCTGGCTGGTGATGCAACAGCAATGGAAAGATCTGCTTATGAAAACTATAAGAATCAAGTGGGATGTACGTTGCTGTTGCTGATCCAACAGTACCTCTGGCTGCTTCGTGGAGCTCCAAGAGTATAGGTCCCTAAGCAAGGAAAAGGCAGGCAGGTCTTAGAAAGTAACAAGTTTTAGAGCACTTTCTGTATCTAAAATTCCCCCTGTGAACATGCTTAATTGTGGCTGTGCCGTCAGTACAGTGCTGCAATAAGTTTGAGGTGTTCAAGGGCATAAAAATATTTGTTTCTTGCAGTTGGTGCTTTGCAATGTATTATCTGTCTTATACTTCATATGTTCTTGCAACATTGTTACTAGCAATTTGGCAAATACACTGATAAAGGTTTTGCTGAGAAGAAAACCTGGCCTTCCTAACATTTATGATGATATAAAGAAAGCACTGCTAGGATTTCGCTGAAAAAACATACCCAGATGAAACTGTTACTGGAAAATGAAACAGTTTTTGCTCAGATTTGTAAAGATAAACTTCACAGCAAGCCAGTTTTCTGAATTAAACCCTGTATGATCAAACGCATCATGTTCCTTGTGCTATACAGTACTCAGTTCTCAGTAAGCACATTGCACAGGGAGGGGTTTTTTTGGTAACTCACTGTGGTCTGGGCAGAGCATGGCATGGTAGATGAACAGGAACTCGGGGGCAGGAGGGGCAACCACATACAAAGTCAACTGGTGTTGATTTAAAGTACTTGTTGGTGGGAACACAGTCTCCTCAGGGAGCCAGAGGAAAAGCATTTTCACCGGCAGATGTTACTGTTTTGAGCATGGGCG